TATTTTTAAGTAACTTTTAAACAAAAAGCATAAGCAATCTAAATGGATAAGTAGAGAAATGATCGAATAATGGTCTATGCAGCCATAAAGTTAAACTTCTGAGTTTATAACATACAAAATTGTCACTATATAATGGTAAGTGAAAATCAGGATATAAAAATTATATCACAGAACCCCAATTATGTAAAAATAAAGGAGGCATGCATCCATTTCTCCCCCCACCCAAAGAAACTAAAAGGTTTTAGGGAGTGAAATGTTCTATATTTTGATTGCAGTTCTATATTTGACTTGCTACCTTTGTCAAAAATTTCAAAACTCATTGTAAATGGGCTTCTTTTTTTTAACAAAAATTGTAGCTCAATACAGTTGACATAAAAATGGAGACTAAGGGCCGGCTGAGTGGCTCCATTGGTTAAGAGCTCGCTCAAGAGTTTGAGCTCTGAGCAACAGCAGTTCAAGTCCAGCCTGAGCTGAGCAGCTGCTGAGCTGCCAACAGGTAGCAGGATAGCTCAGCTAAAAAAAAAAAGGAGACTAAAACACACAACTCAAAATATTTTGGGGCAATATTTTTGTTTTCCAAATTTTTTACAATTTTTCAATTAAAAAAAATGGGGCTGGGTAGGTATTGAGGTTATTTAAATGTCCATACTTTTTAACTACTGAGAATTTGGTAGATGCTAATACGTATTAGATTAATAGCTACTACAGGTACCTAGAGCCAAATGCTACACAGACACCTTAAATATTTAAGACGTTTCTGCTATATAGCATTGTATTCCACACAAATGGTGTTCCTAGTGTTCTGTACAAGCAGGCCTGTATACTTATTTTACTTAATCCTTATGATATTTCTATGAAGAAGGTATGATCCACTATTTAGACATAAGAAAAGTGAGATTCAGGATGAGGTTAATACATTTGCCGAAAATCACAAAGCTATTAAGTGGAAGAGCTGGTATTCAACTCCAGGTCTGCTGATTCCAAGACCAATATTCTGCCCTATATTGCTACACTCCACTGCCCTCCCCAAAAGGCTAAGCCTCCAAGTCCCTTGTTATCTACAAACTTGATTAGTACAACACCTTGTCCTTACTTTGTGGCCTAAACCTCACTGTGAACTAAACCTTCCCAGCTACTATATAGTATTACATACTTACTTAACTTCAAGGTAACAAGATCCCTCTTAGGTATAGTTACTCAGTAAGTAACAAACCTATATATTATCATCCAGCCCACGTTTCTCTATATTCAAATCCCTCCTCTCTGCACTCAATTAAAGTTTCGTCTTCTCTTACCATTAATTGAAGTCTGGGAAATGACTTCTTAGATTCCATGGGTAGCTTTTTAAAATTAAGTATGAAAAGTATTAACGTTGTTGATTATGCATTTAAACAATCTTTTGGGGTAAAATTTGGCAACACCTATTAAAATATAACCTTTTGAACCAACAATTCCACTTCCAGCATCCTATAATATGTTTACAAAACTGCATAAAAATATACACACAAAGATGTTTATTATAGTATCATTTGTAATAGCATAAAATAGTGCACATAATATCAATGCCTATGACTAGGAAAGCGTTCCAAAAATGATGGTGCACTGATATAATGGACAACTAAGCAAATAAAAAAATGAGGACAATTTATAGGTATTAACATGAAAAAGATGCAACAAATTTTGAATAGCAATACTCTGGTGAAGTGGGTATCACATTTCAGTAATTGTTTTTCACGTAAACATATACCACTTTTTGTAAGCAGAATAAGCAAAGAAATTAAAAATAAAACACACTGATATGTGTGATGGCCCTTGGAATCCCTTAAGGGCTGCTTTTCACATATACTCATGCATGCATTCATATACTTAAGTGCCTTCATGTGCCAAACAACATAGTAGGCCCTGGGGATAATAAAGTCAGTGACATAGAGTCCCTACCTTTGTGGAACTTACAGTCAAAAAGCGAACAAAGGGCCAGCCGAATGGCTCAGTTGGTTAAGAGCTCACTCAAGAGTTTGAGCTCTGAGCAACAGCTGTTCGAGTCCCTGCCAGAGCTGAGCAGCCGCTGAGCTGCCAAAAGGTGGCAGGATGGCTCAGCTAAAAAAAAAAAAAAAAAAAGCAAACAAAACTAAAGTGTGAGAAGTATGATGGTTAAAGTACAGAGTGCAAATGAGAACACAAAATAGGAGAACCTATCCTAGCCTTGAAGAAGAGTAGCTGGAAAGGAGTGCCAGCACTTTCTCCTGAGGAATGACTATCCATAGAATGAATAATGCTATTGACACATCTGGTTAAGCTGACTCCACAGCCTTTGAAATCCAAACAGCCTGTGGCACATATGGTGAGCACTGAAAAGAAGAGCCTCTCACTTCATGAAGTCAAGCAGCACTGTGACAACCGCGAAAGCTGATGATCATGGAATACCCCTATGACAAAGCCAGAGTGGAAACAAGAGCCATTAGCTTATCCAGGAACTGGTTCAGGGATTTGGGAAAGCAGATGCAAATCTTAACATCTCAGCATGAAGGAATTGATGAAAATGGACCTCAAACTGTCTCACAAATAACTTTCAAAAACTTATGTACAGAATGACTGTCAAACAGAATTTAACACAGTTTGTGACATAAAAGGAATAATCAAGTCCTTGATCATCGCTCTCAAACAAACGATAGGAGAGACACAGAATACCAAAAACAGAAAGAGCCACAGTCTGGCCTAAAATCCCACAAGTTCACAAAAAAGAAAACTAGAGAGGTTGCCAAAAACATTTAACAGAAGGAATAATTTTCAGAGCTTTACTATAGTTTCTTTCATTTCTTCACAAAGCTCCCTCCCCTGCTCCCTAGAAAAACCTGTGGTGTATATTTATTTTTTAAAAAACAAGTTCTGTTCATAGAGGAAATTCTGAAGTAAAGAGAAATCAAATGTATACTTTACTAATGTAAAGTATACATTACCGTATTTGCCGGCGTATAAGACGACTCGGCGTATAAGACGACCCCCTAACATTTCCACTCAAAATACAGAGTTTGTTATATGGTCGGCTGTGTGCGATTTTGCGAGTGTGGTAAAATCGCATAACAGCAAAATCGCATAACAGCCGAGCATACACCCAGCAGCGCTGCTGATGCCTGAACGGTATGTGGAATGAAGTGGGCGGGCATCGGGAGGCCACTATGGCACGGGGCAAGCACTATGGGCAGTCTATCTGAAGTGTACCTGGCGTATAAGACGACCCCCCACTTGGAGGCATATTTTTCAGGGCCAAAAAATCGTCTTATACGCCGGCAAATACGGTACCTAAGAAAAAGAAGAGCTGACTTCTAATAAAGCACCCTTGAGTAATCAACTGCTAATGCTCAGTATGTAAAAGAAATGGTACAAGAATCAATCATAACCTTTCTAAAACATTGCTTTAATCAGTGTTTCCATTTCATTCTTCAACTATTGGTTATCTTATTCTGCACCAACAAGAGAGCACACATTAGTATGCTCTTCTGCCACACACCAGCAGAAATTCCCAAAAGCTACTCCTCAAAGCATCTCCCCACCTTCTCTGTAACTAACAATTCCTAAAGGCAATTTATCTCCTCTCCTTTCAGTGGTTTTTATCCATGGTCAGTAGCATAAAATGTTTTAGTGTTGTGCACATTTAGGCTGTGGTCCTAGGTTGCTGTTACTGAGCTCTGGCAAGTTTCAGTTTTTGTTTCTCTGTGTATAAAAAGGTTATGCTGTAAAATTCTATGGATCACACCTTTTAGTACTGATACTCAGTGAGGCATACCATACACATGTCAAGTGGTAAGCATAGTGTTGTGGGAAAAGTTAAACCGATCTGGATTCAAATTCCCTGACACCTATGAGTTTTGCTTTGGGCAACTTACTTACTCTTAGAAAAAGAGGGTATGACCAACAAACTACTTTATAAGAGTACACACAGGATGGCAATTTAGAAGTGGCTGAAAATGTCTACTGGTGCACAGATCTTAACAAGCGTATGTACCTTGTGTACCATACAAAACTGAAACAGAACTTCATCAAAAGTGAAGTACATAATCTTCCCACAAAGTTCATGACCAACTAGAACATTAGCTACAAAAGAGCCTCCATTATCTTGCTAGGAGATACTGAAATCTTTTGAATCAAATGGTTTCACTTCTTTACCATCTTGGTGGGTCAAAGTTCCAATCACTGATGAGCAAAACTAACAGAAGACAATATCACTGAGAAGAATGTAAGATGTACTTTCTTTCCCCACTAAAATTCCAAAAGACTTTCAGTTGAGGAAACAAAGAAGGTGGAAGACTCAAATATCCTATAGCGTATTTATATGTAAATGATCACAAAGAAAAACCTTTGCATAAATCATGAAAAACAACCCAATAGAGTAAACCCTAGGATAAAAAGTACTCCTATACTCATAAACTGTAGCATTCACAGACTGCTTCAAATATAACAATCGCATGGCTCTGTTCTATTTGTAAACTCCTGCACTTGCTCCGAGAGTCTTCTAACCCAAAGTTACAATTATCACACATCTAAAGACTGTGCACGAAGCAGCGTTATTTCTAGTACTATAAATCAGTAAACTTACTTTGACTTGCTTAAATTTAAAATTCTTTCAGTCTTAACCGCCGAGAAAATTTACACTTTTATTACATCGTAATGTGTGTAGATATATAAATTGATCCTTTTTCCACATGAAAATAAACTTTAGCTATACTCTATCGTAGGAGCCAGTGCCTCAAAGGCCCTTCTCAATATGCTGCTCCAGCTTTTAGTGTCACTTAGGTGAAAAATCCTTTCCTTAAATATGGAAAGAAAAACTATGCAGTAAGGACTCAAAGAGGATATATTAATTGTAAAGCCAAATCGCAGCCCTGCAAAGTCAAGATTATGAAAGATTCTCGTGGATGAGTTTTTTTATAGCTACCAGCAAGAAGGCGCAATCCGGGGCTGCGACGTTTCCATAGATAAACTGGAAAAGGTGATCAACATACCTGGAGGAAGCTGCAAATTAGCAGGCAGCTGAACTGTTGTGGTGTTGGGGGCTTTCATGGCGACTATCTGAGGAGCGGGTAGCCCAGGGCCGCTGGTGAGTTTAGGAAGAGCACTGACAGGAGCCACTTTGGTCACCAGGGTGCCCATGGGAGACCGCAGGGGCTGGGACACCGTGGACTCCACGATGGCACTGACAGGAGCCTTAGTCACGGCGCCCAGCGCCACCGGAGTGCTCTCCACCCGGACCGGCAGAGCTCCGGCAGGGGCCATGGTCAAGGTCCCGGAGGCGCTCACGGCAGTGTGGGGAGCGGCGCCGGCCGGTTCCGTGAGGCCCGCGGGCATCCCCCAGGTGGATCAGCGGCAGCTGCAGCGCTGCCGTTTCGGGAGCAGAGGCAAGCGGAGACTTGACAAGTAGCAGCCGACTCCAGTGAAGTTCCAGCTCCACAGCATCGCTAGCGAGAGGCGCACGGGCAGTGACACAGAAGTCAATGATGGGCGCCAGCTGGGAAGCGGAACCCACGCGTCCGGGACCTGCCTAGCGTCCGCGTGGCCCCGCCAGCGGCAACACCTGCTCCGCGGCTCGCCACTTCCTCAGCAGCGCTCCCACGTGCGCCGGTTCAGCCCGGCGCTTCAGCCTCGGGTCCCGCTGCGGCGGAGCTTGGCTGAGGGGCTCCCGGAAGAGCGTCACTTTGGTTCCCACCTCTCAGCCTAACTGCGCCGGGGTTGCCCCGCCAGAAATTTCAAAACCACAAACCCCGAGTTCCCCGAAGACCCCTACACAAGCTCACTACAACCCCACCGCGCGACCCCGCCAGCCATGTTTATATAGCCGCGCGCGGACACCTCGCGCATGCGCACAGGCCGCCGCCACCGCCCCGGGCTTTCCCCGGAATCCGGCCGCGTAATTGGCCACAGAATGGAATCGCGCTCTTGACGTCACTAGGGACGGCTCCAGAAGGCGTTAGAATCTTTCCCAGAATCCGGAGGAAGGAGGGGCGAGTTGCCAAAAATCTACCACGTGGGAGAGGGAATCGCGCTTGGAAAACTGCGGCATCTGCGTTCCTCCCGTTGTTATATCTAGTTGCGTGTTCCTTTTAAAAAGCCGGGACGAGACTTCCCATAGGATTCTACTTTTTAAGCAAACAATGCGGAGGACTGATTTTGGAGAAAGGTGACACAGTAAGAGCTCAAGCACGCTTCCTTAGTGTTCTGCGGGATTTGCTCTAAAGCGTCACTAAAATTAGCATTACAGTTGACATTGTGAAATTTTGTAAATGTCTTTTTTGTCTTTTAAATGTTTAAGAATAGTGTATAGTCTGTAAGGTGTGTCCATTTTCATGTAATTTTAGAGTTGAACGCCCACAAGGAAAATCGAATTCTTCCTCGATGCTGCTAAAGATGTCTCTATCACCTCTAAACTTATTTAAATTATTTGTTTACATGCCTGTCTCCTTGAAAACTTGAACAGTGTCTTAACTTCTCAGATTCTAGCATTTAGATCTTAAGTGCAATCCTATAGTCTTTGAATAAGTTAAAAGTGTTTGTTGAATGTATCAATCCAGTCCCATATGGAAAAATTTGCCCCTTAGAGATCTCTACAGAAAAGATGTCGTGATTTCAGGCTGTTATTATATGTTTGTGAAAACTGATACTGAACTGGAGATTTCGCAAGTAGGAAGGTAAGCAGACGTTTACAACTTGTAGTTTTCTCCCTTTCTGTCAACTCCAATTGACAAGATCTCACTGCTTACACATTACTATGTTTACTGTCTCATATCTCAATAAGAACCCATTTGTGACCCAAATCAATCACATCCTTCTTTATTCCATGAAGGCATACCTGATTACCTATCTTGTAGAAAACTCCTCAAAGTAGAAGGGGGCTGGAGGAAGGGAAAACTAAACTGAGCATCTCTTGTGTTAGTCACTAAGATACATTTCCTTTTTTTTCTTTTTCTAATAACCACCCACTTTACTGACTTAAAAACCACAATTAAAAGAGTAATTTATACAAGAAACCAGCGTGTAAATGCCAAAGTACATCTCTTTCCACTACCCCACAAATGTCTGATTCATCATATATCACTCTGCCTCTGGCAAAATGCCCTTGCACATAAAAGGTATTTAATAAATATTTGCTAAGTGAATGAATTAAATAGAGCTATGCAACATTTTCAGTGAAGTGGATTTGAATCCTAGGTCTGCTCTTCTCTAGCTGGGCAAATTGTTCAGCCTTCACATTTTTCTCTCCATATAGTTTAGTTCAATAAATACTTATGGAAAAAAGACTCAAAGTTTGCACTGAGAACTATTTTCAAACTTTCATTAGACCCCCTACCCCCAACTCATATACTTTGTTTAGGTATGTAAATAACCTCATTCAATTTACAAAGAGGCTTGGCAGAGGAAGTATTCGTTCTCTTTAAGGTGACCTAGAATAGTTTTCTAATAATTGTTTGCTTTATAATTTGATTCACTGAGGGCAACTTAAATTTTCTAGTTGCAAAGAATATACTCCTCCTTACTCAGCACAGGTAACTACTGTCCCTAATTTGGAGTTTAGTAATAATTAAGTTTACTACATTTCCTTCCTATAGAAACATAGTCATAAAACAATACGTAGGAAGACAAAATGCATTTTATCCCTCTACGTATGTAAGAAAAGGAAAAAATGGAGGAGGAAGATTATAGCTTGATTTTACTATGTTTATCTGTTAAAAAATATTGGTAAAATAATGAGAATCAACTCAGCTTAAAGATAGTGAAAAATACTTATTCATTTACTTCTTAGTTCCTTTGAGCTGCTGTAATAAAATAACATAGACTGGGTGGCTTATAAACAACAGAAATTTAGCTCACAGTTTTGGAGGCCAGAAGTCAGATTAGGGTGCCAGCATGGCCAGGTGAGGAGGGTCTTCCAGATGGCAGACTTCCTGGTGCCCTCACATGCAGAAGGGTGGATGGATCTCTCTGGAGCCTCTTTTATAACTACTGATCCCCTTCATGAGGGTTCCACCCTCAAGACTGAAGCACCTCCCAAAGGTCCCACCTACTAGCATCACTTTTGGGAGTTAGAATTTTAACATATGAATCTGAGGGAGACACAAATATTCAAACCATAGCACCTTTTAAATGAAGGACTGCATCATTAATTGTCCAAATATTCTGCTCATCATTTTAGGTAATGAAGCAAAGCTATGAACAAATACGAAATTTGTATTTCCAATATTTCACTATTTCTCACACACACACACACACACACACACACACACACACACACACACACACACAAATACAATTTAACTTGGGCATAAACAAAGACTAAGGGCACAATTATTGAGCGGACAATGTAAATTATTCTTACTGTCTTTTTGATTTGCCAACTGCCTACAGGCTCTTCAAAAAATAATTATAAGTTTACTATTCTGTAGAATTTAAAGAGGAAGTCTTGTTTATCTGTGAAATGAGATGAGCTGAAAAATCTGCCTAAGAAAACATAACTATTTGGCTAAGATGGTCGTGGCCTCACTTTCAAAGTAATCCAGAAACAAATGACTTTAAGTTCTATACTTTGAATCTGGTCCAAAATCTGTGTGCCTTTGCATCAGAGCATTTAAAATTTTTCAGCAACAGTACACATTTCTACAACACCACTCTGTGAGTCCTTTGCTCTTAAAAGAATGCAGTTTAAACTCTTTACAAATTTTTACTTCATTAATGACTTCCATTTAAAAATCTTTTACCATATTTTTATCATATATTTTATCATTCTTATTGCAATATAATTGACATGTATTAGTTTTACATGTACAACATAATGATTCAATATATGTATATAATATGAAACCATTTTTGATGCCTTCATTAAAAGTTCAATGAAGACTGAGACACTTTTTAAATTTTTTAGTATTTAAAAGTAAATGCACCTAGAAAAAGTGCATATAACCAGATGATCCTCATATAAGCAATCCATTCACACTATAGAATACTAATCAGCCATTAAGATTTACATGTGTAGAGGTATATTTATTGACATGGAAAAATGATTGTGGTATATAATAAGATAGTATGTAAAGCATGATTCCATTCTTGGTAAATAAAAAAAACTTTTAAACAAATAAGCAGATAAATATATGCTTATAAGAAAATTCTAGATTATATACCAAACTGTTGACAGATGACATCTCTGTTTGGAGACATTCTAAGTGATCATTTTCTTTCTATTTATGTGTATTTTCTAATTTTTCTACAATGAATAATATTTTCATAATCAAGAATACAAGTTCTTTCTTAAAATGTGTATTCTTAGGGACATTTGAAATCTGTAAGTACAGCTAAGTATTCCCTAGTCTCCTCCCGAAAGCACCCAAGAAACCTCACTGAACTTCATGGAGCTAGGCAAATATATTAACCTGTTTATGACAAGTAGAAGCTTATTACAAACACTGCCTTAATCTAGGAAAACGGGCAGTTTTCTGAAAGTATGGGTACTCACTTTCATTTCATATTAAGTGTAATAAGACCACTCAAGAAGCCATAAATCCCAGAAATAATCTTTTATTTTCTAGAAGATTCTGCAACCACAGAACTTTATACTTATATTGTCTATTATAGCACTCATTTTCTTGAATTATATATTCTTAGATGCCCCTCTTCCCACCTCCCTTCAGTCATTCATTCACATAACAAATGTTTATTGAATGCTTACTACATGCTTGACAGTACAGAATATATCAATAACAAAAGAAAAGACAAATATCTGTCCCCGTGAAGCATACATTCCAGTGGGAAAAGGCAAAATGAAAAGTAAATTATATGGTATATTAGATGGTGATAAATGTCATGCAAAAGGAAATAAACCAAGAGTGTAGGAAGTACTGTCAGTATACAGAGGAGGGAAGAAAGAGAAGGCAGGAATCATATTAGGCTTTGTAGGCCTGTGTAGGGATTTTGACTTTTACGCTGAGTGAGATGGAAAGGCATTGGGAGACTTTGAGCAGCAAAGTTACATTATCTAACTTATATTTTTAAAACCTCACTCTGGCTGCTGTGTGAGTAGACCAAAAGGACAAGGATAATTGCAGAGAGACTGCTTAAGGAAGCTGCCAGAAGATCCAAGTGAGAAATGATGGCTTAGTCTAAGGTAACATCAGTGGAAGTGGTAAAAAGTCAAATTCTGGGAATATTTTAACAGATCAAACAGGCTGATTGTGAGGTATGAGAGAGGAGTTAAGTGTGACTCAAAGGTTTCTGGCCAGAGCAAACTGGAAGTATGAGTTGCTATGGGGGTTGGGAAATCAGGTGCTCAATTTGGGATATTTTAATTTGAACTGCTTACTGATATACAAATAGAGTATGGAACAGACAGCTGGATATACAAACCCAGAGTTCAAGGAAGAGGTCCAGGCTGAATACATACATACAAGTCTAACAATTAAGTTTGCAAGCTTGTTGCAATGATGTTGCTAACCATTTTTTGATATCAGAGAGATTATTCATTATGAATTTGTACCAACTGGACAAATAGTTAACCAAATTTACTATTTGGATGTGCTGAAAAGTCTGCATGAAAAAGTTAGACGACCTGAACTTTTCGCCAACAGTTCATGGCTCTTGCATCACGACAATGCACCAGCTCACAGGGCACTGTCTGTGAGGGAGTTTTAGCCAGTAAACAAATAACTGTATTGGAACACCCTCTCTACTCACCTGATCAGGCCCCCAATGACTTCTTTCTTTACCCAAAAATAAAGGAAGTATTGAAAGGAAGACATTTGGATGACATTAAGGACATCAAGGGTAATACGACGACAGCTCT